AAATGCTAAAGGATGTGAGGAGGAATGAGGAGGAGATGTGTCAGTCTAACCAACTGCTGCTCACTCGGTTGGAGGACGTGCAGGTAAAGTCCAGGTCACTGTTAGTCTCAGAGGGGAAGCTTGGGGGCGAGGTCTGAACTTCCTGTCTGAAAGAATGATTACAAAAAAGAGAAACAGCTGGATTGGTTTTAAGATCATGACTCAGGGCGTGAGATGATTTTTAGCAAAAAACAAAGCTGTTGTCTTGTCTTTCGACAGAGTAAGTTGACCAAACTCAATCATGAGCACAGGGACTTGAAGGAGAAGCTGAAGGAGGAGAGGAAACAAAGAGAGGAGCTGTGGAAGGCAAAAACTGAACTGGAGGACGAGAGGAGGCTGCAGGACCGGGCTGTTGAGCAACTGCAGAGGAAGGTGAGAGGTGGACCTTGACAATTTATTAGACCCAATCGGAAAACATTTTTGGAGCCAAACAAGATCCAAATATCTGTTGTCTTAACCCTGCAGCGACATGAGATCAGCAGAAACAGCTGATAGTTCTTGTGCATGCATAGTTTCTTTCATCCCTTATGTCCACATACCCGAGGAGGTTCACTTATCTCACTGTACAAGCTCTGTTTATCCGTCTGTTCAGATGAACAGCATCATGGAGGAGTGCGAGGCGTCTACAGACGTACTTCAGAGCCAGGTCGACGAGGCCAGAGAGAAGAGTCAGAGGGAGTTGGCTGAGCTGCGTCGACAGCTGCAGGAAAAGGGAGCAGAGCTGGAGAAATCCCGACAGGCGGCCAAAAGACTGCAGGAAGAGGTGTGGTACTCATTGTCTCTCTCGATTCATCAGTTTGTGGGTTCAAATGTCTGAGTCACCAATAAAATAATAAGTCAGCGGCAGGGTAGAAAGGAGTTATGTTGTTTTAGAATTTTTCTCCTGATAAGGTGCTACACGGATCCTGAGAGAAGTTTTCAAACGTTTAACCTGATTTACTTTTCTGAATAATGTCTGACTAACTGAGTGACCACTGCCCAACACTAAACCTTGGCATGTTACCTTATCTCACAGTGTGTGTTTACTCAGTGGCGTGTTCTGTGTTCAGCTCCTTCCTCTGGAGGGGGATCTGCAGCGGTGTCGCAGGGAGCAGCAGGAGGCCCAGCTGAGGGGCCAGCAGCTGGAGCAGAGGGTGGAGGAGCTGGAGGAAAGGAACGCAGCCACGGTGGAGGAGAGAGAGCGGCAGGTCAAACTCATGGAGGTAAATGTCTGGGGAAATCCCACTCTGGAAACTTACTGAATTAAGAAGTTGTCACAAGAAAAACAAGCATCTAAATGATAGTGAGAATAATTTTCATTTGCATTAACATACACAGCAATAAAATTAAATTTCTTTTCATTGAAAATTGTCCGTAACACTTCACTTGTTTAACATGTAGAAGCAGTATGTAAACATCTAATGAATGGTTTACAACACTCTATAATGTTGTTGTAATAGCATATAGAAGGACATTTAAGTGTTTACCTATGATTAATAACAATAATAATAATAATAATAATAATAATAATAATTGTACATGCAGCAGTAATGATTCCTGCCATTGTGCGCTGATGACCGTGGGAAACGTTCAATTATAAACTGCTCTCACTCGAGCATACTTCACTTTATCACGTGCTTTGAAAGTGTTTATCTGTTCAGGTGCCAGTATTTGCACTCACTTGTTCCTGTGAAATATGAGGGTGCTGAGAGGAGTCATGGCAACAACATCTCGCTGCTCACCACTGTTTGTCTTGCTGATGACAAAACATTACACAGTGACACCAGTGTGCTCTCTGTTGACACTGCGTATCAACCGAGGAAGCTCGTGTTTACTGTAAAAAGTTATCGGACCTGTCTGGGTGTTCTCAGGAATCTCCTCTCTCACACCCCCCCCCCCCCCCCCCTCACCTTCATTGTTAAAAACTCACTTCCACACACAATTTATTATGAAAGGGTTTTCAAATGTGATTATCTTTATCTTGGTGCATTTTTTCCCAGCAGCCTCCTCATGTGTTATTACCCAATAACCCTTTTCCCTGAGTCAGTTTTGTAACCACAGCCTCTGGGGACAGATCCATCATGTTCGCTGCACTGGTAAACATTGTTGTGCAGTGTCATATAAATGAATTAGAGGATGGTTCAACTCATTTTTCATGTCCTCCTCTCGTCTCAGGGACGTATCAGTCACCTAGAAGAAGATCTTCACGATGAGCGCAGCAGTGCTGACCGCCTGATGGAACGACTAGACAAAACCAAAGAGCAGGCAGGTTTACTCCCACACTGTCTTTTCTTCTTTTTCTTTTTTTTTATCTACACAAATCTTTCATTTTGTATTAGCTAACATTCATAAATTTCCCCAACAGCAAAGAGACAACCCATCAGTGATAGAATTATGCCCAGTCTCAAGTTTGAACACCCGGCCCAATATCTGTTTTTATCATGAACAGATGTAGGGCTGAGTGCTCAGATTTCCCCTCAGACACTGAGAGCTGCAGGTCGGTGTGTTCAGACCAGCTCGTTAAACAAGTCTTGTTTTTCTTTTTCAACACTCACTTTGTAACTGCCCTGAAATATGACTGAACCCCTCTCACTTCATATACGTTGCTTCGTCTGATCCCGTCATAAAAGCCCCACTTCCTCTGTGTGTCTGTAAAGTAGGCCACCGTTCATGGGAGAAAAGTGGTGCAGACTAATTGACACAAAACACTGTTTTGGGAGCAGTGCAAAGACAAAAACAGCTAACTATTGTGAGCAGCTATTCACACTCCCTTCACTGGGCCTCTGGATGTTATTAGAGAGGAAAGAGCCTTTAGGTCTGATGTGGCCACTCAGAGCAGACAGCATTTCCTCTGGGTTTAGGAATTAGGCTGGAAAACTTTTCATTTAACCTGAAAGCGCTTGTCAACATGTCCTGCCCTTTTTAATAATGTACAGCCGGGGTTTTGTTTATAATGGAAGAGAGCACATATGCACATGTCCTGGCCTCGTTGACCTACTATACATCTACGTTATGCCGTAGATTGTGACTGAAACTCTCTGTATGTGTGTGTGTGTGTGTGTGTGACAGATGGATCAGATGAGGAACGAGCTGATGCAGGAGAGAGCAGTCAGACAAGACCTGGAGTGTGACAAGACAAGCCTGGAGAGACAGGTACTGACCCCTGACCCCCTCACACTGTCCTCAATCAGAGAAGTAGGTTATGATCTCCATATCAACCTGTTATCAATGTGGCATATGTACTTTTTACATTATGCCCTTTTGAATACTCATTTTACATATATTTATATATATATTTTATCTTCTTGTTGTCTTTCTGTCAAAACAAAGTTTCTGTTCACTTTCACTCACCAAAAATGCCTTGTGTGAATCCTTAAGGTCAAGTAAAGGTCAAACTAATGCAACTCCTTCCTCCTAAAACATCTGCAAAGCCATTTGTTTGGAAAATTTTGAAACTTCAGGGTTCTTTCACATTTCCGCCTCATTTATGACAGTCTCCTGTTTGACTTCCTCCGTCAGAACAAGGACCTGAAGAGCAGAGTGACTCACCTGGAGGGATCACAGAGGACCAACCAGGACTCACTGGTCTCCAAACTTAACAGCCGCATCCAGGAACTGGAGGAGAGGTTACAGGGAGAAGAACGGTGAGCGTTTACACATTTATATTAGTTCTAGACATAAATGTATACAGAGTGTGTGAGATTGTAGAAGACACTTTGGATCATAGCTCCCTCACACACTTGATGGTAGCTGTGGAGCGGTGAACCCACTCATATCACTTTCCCCCGTAGTTGTAAGAGTGAGAACACACTGGGAAGGTGTTGAGTTACAGGAAGCTGCAGCAGCGATGTGATCTCTTGGTGCTTCTGCCCTCAGGGACAACAACAGCCTGCAACAAGCAAACCGCAAGCTGGAGCGCAAAGTCAAGGAGATGAAGATGCAGGCGGATGAGGAGCACATCAGCCTGCAGAACGAGAGAGACCAGGTAGACACATCTTTAATCATAAAGAACAAAGTCAAGCAGTCAGGAGTGGCGGACTTGACTCATGATTTAATATCTCACTTTTGTGAACTCTGCAGCTGACTCAGAGGCTGAAGACGGCGAAGAGGCAGATGGATGAGGCGGAGGAGGAGATCGAGCGTCTGGAACACACTAAAAAGAGGCTGCAGAGGGAAGTGGATGAGCAGATCGAGGCCAACGAGCAGCTTCACGGCCAACTGAGCGCACTGCGGAACGAGATGAGGTGACCACTCACCGACTCGCTGTGTTTGATTTACTGTGTTGCATTAAAGGGTGTTGTTTAACTCCAGCGGTTTTATTCTTTGCACTGACCAGGCGTAAGAAGAAATCACCTCCTCTCATCAAGGTTGTGGAGGATGATGTGAACGACGTGGACGACTTTGGCTCCGACTGACTGACTGAGGAATCATTGATTTATTAATTTTGCATATTAACAACTCAGGTGTGATTTTATAACGTTTCCAGTTGTGAGCAGCGTGGCACCTTGCCAAGGCTGACCTCTAGTGGCAATATGTGTAACTACAATATAAGACAAACTGATGTTTTACAATATGACAAACTCTGACTTATTAATTCAAACATTTTTTTGTTGTCTAAGTTATTCCAACACTGTGTGAGCTAATATGGTGCAAACTGCAAATCTTAAACTGATGAATAAATGTATTAAATTTATACACCTCTGAAATAAATCCAGCTCTATGATGTTTCTGTAAATCTGAGAGTTTGTCAGTGACTACACACACACACACACACACACACACACACACACACACACACACACACACACACTTTAATGAATAAAGAAAATCAGATTTTATAAGACAAAACACACCTGTCCATCACCTCTGCTGTGAACCTTTGCATGTTGACCGGCTGACAAGGAGAGTGCGATGTGGTGGTTGTACAAATGGATCAATGGTCTGTGCTGAATGGCTGCAGCGGTGTAGAGGTGGAGATTTGACATGAGCCCTCTGATCATCTCCAGTGGTTCACACAGCTGGACATCTGGCAGATTTAACAGCATTTGGCACAGTGATACATGGAAATACAACACAAGAGAAGCATGAGGCAACACTGTGCTCTCAAACATGGAATACTCAAGGAATTCCTGGCAGAGTTCCTGGGGACGTTCGTCTTGGTTGTAAGTGAAACTTTGTTTGATAAAGCTGTTTTTTCTTTTTCATCTGCGCTTTGGTCTGAGCAGTAGAACAGAATATTTCAGTGCAGTGAGCTTGTGCGCTACGGTGCGTTTGCTTTGTGACTGATTTTAAAGTTAATTTAAAGTTAATTTCAGTTTATTGTTGAAGTCCAGACCACTCAAGCTGATCCTCATAAATGTTGATGAATTTCCCTAAAAAAAAAAAAAAGACATTTAAGTGAACAGACTCTGGTAAAAATCTGTTGCTCTCTTTCTCCCTGTTGGTCAGTTGTTCGGCTGTGGCTCAGTCGCTCAGACCGTCCTCAGTCGAAACACCCTTGGTGAGCCTCTCACCGTCCACATCGGCTTCTCTGTGGGACTGATGATGGCAGCGTACGTGGCTGGTGGAGTCTCAGGTAAACATGATTTCATCTGGTTGTAAGCACTTCTGCACAATTTCTGTAAATTCATCTCACATGAGCCACAGAACCCCACTGGCTGCGTTTGATATGGTCATTTGGATTGAATGCATGTAAAATAATTTCATGAATAATTGTTGATGGATGCCACTGAGATCAATTTCCCACGCTGCTGGTATTGGCATCCTGTCAAATCAACTGAAATACATCATCAGTTAGTTGTTAACAGTTTGTTGTTTGCATATCCAGCTTCTTTGCTGACATGTAATCTCCTGTTCAGCACTACAGTCTCAGTGATGCATTAAAATAATTCTTAGTTGATACGAACGACCTGTGCCAGGACATATAAAACAGTCTGACACAGGTTGCTTGCATGTGTTTTAATCCAAACATTGTTACTCATGTGGCTTGCAGCTTGTAATAATATAACTTTATGGCTTCCTGTCCAGCCATGTGCCAACTCCACAACTCCAGTGTCAGCAGGAACGTGCCAGCTCTCCGTTCAGATTCAATGGATGTGCACTGACCATTGATTTGTTAGTGCTAGTGCACGGCCTCTACAGGGTCATACATAACCCTGGGCACTAAATGTCCTGCAAACTACATTGATCATAGGCTTCGTTCATCTGTCTATGACAGACCAGACTCAGTCCAAATGAGACTGCTCGCCTCCTCTGAGCAGCATCTACCTCCAGTTCTACATCAAAAGGACCAATTGCATTTCATAAAGAAAGATCACAGACAAACTGATTTGTAAATTGCTTTTAAACTTTAAAAACTTTGCAGGATGTGAGCTTGGTTTGATTAAAAAAATGAGGGGAATAATGGTCACTTTTGTTTTTTTGACTTATAGGATGAATTTCCAATATGTGACCATTATTCTGCCTCTGTGCTCTTGAACATACATAACAAAACCCAGCGCTGCCCTGGGGGCTGCTCCCCTTCTGCTGCCCCTTGTAAATGTGACGGCCTCGCTAATGATGGAGAGGATATCATGCCAGACACCCCCACCCACTGCACCCCTCCTTCACTCTGTGCTTTGTCCTCCGTCCCAGGGGGCCATGTGAACCCTGCTGTGTCTCTGGCCATGGTGATTCTAGGCAAACTGAAGATTTGGAAGTTTCCCTTCTATGTCATCGCCCAGTTTCTTGGTGCTTTCGTTGGAGCTGCTGCAGTTTTTGGATTATACTATGGTGAATACGCTGAACTTTACCCTTAGACTATACATGCTTAACAACTGTTGGTTATGATCTCCGGAGGCTTAGTTTCTCCCAAATTTAAAAAAACCCAACCCCTGTCTTAAAACTGAATTTGTCACAGTAAAAATATTTCAGCTACACGTCCATCAATATGAGATACTCATGGATGAAAGCAACCTGTTTGTCCTCTGCACAGATGCTTTCATGGACTTCACCAGCGGGATTCTGTCAGTCACAGGAATCAATGCAACAGGTCACATTTTTGCTTCCTACCCTGCGAGACACCTGTCAGTCCTCGGCGGCTTCATCGATCAGGTGAGCTCTGGTCACTGTGACCCAATGACCTCCCCTCCATTGTGACCTGCCGCTCCCATTCAGGCTCTAAATACTGCAAAGTCTGGCAAATGTGGCTAATGCAAAAATTGATTGTCCCATTTAGTCTGAGAACACCCCCACTTTTGCTTGGTTTTGGGTCTAATGACCCATTTCCTGGCTTCCTCCGGGAGGTCAGATCTATACTTAACACCATTTTCAGTCTGTTTAGTCGGTGCAGCGATCCAAAAATAACTCGTCTACCAGATTAAAACTGTTGAAAACCACATCAGGTGAACCGCTGAGGTAAATCTAATTAGTCTGACTGCGCTCATGTTAATGTTCCCTTTGTTAGCTCTGTGTAACAGTAGTGCTTAGAGGTGAGGAAGAGGCTACGGTCTATAAATACCCTAAACACTTAACACTAAAAAGATTTGAACCATCAGGATAAGACTTATTTGTTTTAGTGATACATATCTAGTTAGAGGGAATGATAGACCAAAATGTTCAAATGTGATTTTAATGTATCCGATAAAGCCTGATAACTGTACCAACTACACAGTTTAATGATTTTTTTTATTTATTTATTTGTATGTTACAAATGATAAAAGATATAATATGTGCACCTTCACATATATACAAACACACTTTACATAAATGAATGTAAAGTGCACAGAAGAGGGAGGAAGTTAAAAGCTTCTCCTCTCCTAAAAAGTCAAGGCAAAGTAAACAGGATGGCATAAAAGAAAAATAACGAGGAAAGAGAAAATCAATCAGCACTGTCATTGGGAAGTTACCAGTGAGTGTTTGTTATGATGTTTTGTGTTCACCCTACAGAACGGCAGTATTGCAACTAATGACGCTCTGCTCCTTCAGGTGGTGGGCACGGGTATGCTGGTGTTGTGTATCCTTGCTATCATCGATGGCGGAAACATTGGAGCTCCTAAAGGCGTGGAGCCGCTGGCCATCGGGCTGATCATCATGGCCATCGGCGTGTCCATGGGACTGAACTGTGGCTACCCCCTGAACCCCGCCAGAGACCTGGGACCCCGACTGTTCACGGCTGTAGCAGGATGGGGGATGGAGGTTTTTAGGTAACTGTACAACAGAGCAAGACAGACATTAAGACATTAAGTTTATTTTGTGTCATATACTTGGGTTGAATCAAATACAGGCAGATCTAATATGTGTGGATCTTGAGGCAATGATCAGGGTGCTGAACAACATTATATTAGATAATGTTAATTGGAAAAAAAAAACATGTTACATCTCAATGTATGTTCACATTATGGAAACATATACATGTGTTTGTGATTCTCTGTCTCCACCTCCTCCAAAGTGGATCCTTTCATTCTTTTTATTCATTGAGATTTTTAATTGAAGTAAACTGATTAAGACCTGAGCTGCTGACATGAGCCCCAGTGTTATATAATGTCACATGCACTCGACAGATGCAGTCGATGATTGTGAATGATCCAGTGATGGCACCAGTGACCTGCAGTGACTTCTGTGCCAGCTGCTTGAGTGACTGCCAGAGATGAGTTTAACCCTTTCCTCTTTTCATAACGTCGGTGTTCGCAGCACTGCAGACTACTGGTGGTGGATCCCCGTGGCCGGGCCCATGGTGGGGGGAGTTGTTGCGGCCGTCATCTACTACCTGCTGATCGAGCTGCACCACCACCACGACGAGCCCGAGAAGCCCCAAGAGGAGGAGGAGGAGGAGGAAGAAGACGAGGATGACGAGGACAGCAGTCTGAAGGACAAATATGAGATGATCACCATGAGCTAAAAGAGACATTAACCTCCAGGACTGACTGGTCAGATTCAGCTGTTTCACTGTCAATCAGATGACTAACACCCAGCACACCTTCCATCTGTAAGGACAGGCTTCCTCTGTCAGTGTGCTCTCTGTGCTAGACCCATTAATAGCAGGATAGGCTGTAGTTACACTTCTGATTGACGTTATGCTCTGCAGAGACAAGCTTTTCCAGCTCAGTGATGGCACCATTAAAACCTACACGGGTCAAAACACAAAGTAAAATAACTTAGGAAACTGTTTAGACTGAAAAACTGCAGCCAACACCGGGTCGTCTCCTCTGCAGTTTCACTTTTTATGTTTTATGTTTCATAAACGTGAAAATCTCAGTCCTGCTTCACATTGTCATGACTTTTCATATAGATGTGTTGTAAATAGCGCCTTGTAAATATCCCACTTCATTTGAATATACACTTAACACGCATGCCAGTTTCCTTTTAGGTTTGCTCCCATGTTCTTCAGTGGTTGTGATGCTACCATCTGTATATTCACTTAAAACGTATTTTTCTTTTCTTTTTTTTGTTGTAACTTGTAATTATTTTTCTTCTTTTGCAAACCTCCCTCCTGTTCGTTATTATTATTTGTATTTTACTCAGTGTTGTTTTGTCTACATTAAAGTTTCTACAAATATCAACTTCACCTCAGGGACTCATTTCCCTTCATCAGTGAGACATCATCTATTTTATTTATCACTGACAGCCGCAGTTAAGCTGAACGAGTTTGTTGATGTCGTTTTCCTTTCAGCATTCACAATATTACCCTAGTATATCCTCATACATCCCTTCAATTGCTGTGCAGGTCGTAATAATCTACGTGACGAAGTGAAAGAAGACAGTAATAGCGACATGAATCTTCTGAGTAAACTTCAGCGGCAGACAAGTACATTCATTAGACTCAGACTGAACACCTTCAACAATAATTGGACCGACATAAGTGATGGATTTGTTGTGTTTAGATGATACAATGGCAGAGGATGATTATGCCTCACTGCAGTGTCAGCTCAGAGCGCTGTGCTTTAAACAAATATTTCCTGTATGAGCTGATCACTCTAGCTAATGTCCCTGTGCATATCAAAGTTGATCTGAGTCTCATCTGGGTGTCTGATTTTAACTCTCCAACAGTGGATTCAGGTGGTGATGCCACTGTTGGAGGGCTGAGGATGTAGAGAGAATGAAATTAACCAGGAAAATTAAAGCAAACAAAGTGTAAGAAAATCCTTCCTGGCATCCTGTGAAGAGGAAGTATTTGCCACCTTTACCTGAGCAAAAGTACCAATACCAGAGTGCAAATTTATCCTGTTACAAGTAAAAGTCTTGAATTCAAACTTTCTCCAGACTCCACAAAAATGATCAATTACCCTCATGGAAAAATCCAGGATTTATGAACATGCATCAATATACATGTATAGATAGATAGATAGATAGATAGATAGATAGATAGATAGATAGATAGATAGATAGATACCTTTGGCTGAGGTGTTCTACAGCCTGATGGCAGTGGGCACAAAGGATCTCCTGAACCTCTCTGTTCTGCAGCGCAGTGAGATGAGACGTTCTCTGTCCTGCCTGAAAGTTGTGGAGAGGATGGTTGGTATTGTCCTCCATCTTACACTGCATGCATCTCTCCACGACAGTCCTGAGTGAGTCCAGACTCCTGCCAAGCGCAGACCCAGCCTTTTTGACCAGCTTGTCCAGTCTCCTCGTGCTCATGCCTGACATGCTGCTGCCCCAGCAGACTGCAGCATAAAAAAGTACTACTATTAACTGTTTGAGGGAGACCATTTTAACTACTTCATATACTGTTGTAGTTGTATACTTTACTGCAGGTTAGTCTATAACAAACCTTCATATTTTAGAGGCTGATCATTTGTTTTGTGTATTAAATCTTAATCTACAAAGCAACTAGAGCTGTCAGATGTATGAAGTAGAGTACAATATCTTTCTCTGAAATGTAGTGGAGTAGACGAAGTACCTCATGTGTGCTTCAGTTACTTTACATCTCTGGCTTTGGCTCAGTATTTGTCTGTGGGTGCAGGCAAAGTTGAAAAAAAAGGGTCTGAGATGCCTTCAATGACACGTGGAACTCCAGGAGAAGAAGCAGGTAGGCAACACAAATACCAAACTTTCATGCTCACCACGTTTCAGAGACGGGGTGAGGGGTCACTGACTCCAGCAGGGCAACAGATAAAGCTCTCCCACTGGGTCAGCCTGGAGGAGGAAACAGAACCAGATAACCAGTACAAGAAGATCAAATACTCATCGCTGAAAGGTGAGGTATCTGAAGGGCGAAGTGTGGAGCTGCAGGGTGAGTTTATCAGACACCGGCCTGACGGTGGAAGGAAAGAGATCACATTATTGTTCACGTCAGTTTGTCATGTACACAGTGCAGGATTGCATACATTGAACAGAGGGGAAATCACTTTGTATAGACTGACTGGCGGCTCAATAACAATACATGTGTAGGTGCATGTGATTCTCTCCTCTCGTCTCTCACCTATCGGCCACGATGCAGGGCGATGTAGACGACATTACTGAGCTGAATCAGCCGGGCTTTGATGAAGCACTGACAGGACGCTCATTATGAACAAGGCACAGTCTCCTGAGAACCGGGTCTGTACAAACACATTTGTCTTCCTCTGTCAAATCACAGGTTCAATATGAGGAATGCCTTCAACTAAACTGACACACACTCATTCTTTAAACTTGTGTGGAACAGTGTGTCTGTATGTTGTTTTATATGAAAGGGAAAGACACAGTATGTGGTAGTGTCTTATACCCAGCAGTGACTTTATGTTTTTCACGAGATATACAAACTTGAATCTGTCTAAATCTCCTCAGACTGACTGAATGGAAGTTTCTGATACTGGACAATGAACTTGCAGTCTTTGTTCTGCAGTCCTCAGGGTCAGCTGCTCTTTGGAGCGAGTGCTGGCTGCCACTTAGTTCAGTCTGGGTGACACTCTGCAGCGTGCCGGTGCCACTTTTACAATCATGCTCTGTCACTGCGAGGAGAGACAAAAGGTACTGCTCGCTTAAAGGCCGTGATGTCAGCTCCTCGCACAGAGCCACAAATCTAAATGGAGAATACTGACCAGGGTCGGTGACACTGGGCTCTCTGCTGGGACACTGTTTCAGGCACAGAGTGGCATCCGTTTGAAGAGCGCTGTAGGGAAATGGACTACAGCATCAGGAGTGACAACAATATAAACTTACAGGAAAACAACTCACAGCCTGTGTTATCCACAAAATATTGAACCCAAACTCTTGTTGTGGGTGACTGTGCTCGTTCATGTCGCAACCAGCGGCCGCATGCAGCTGAGGATCCACATTGAAAATCAATAGCAAGCGCCATTCCACTGCATGTGCAAATGTGTGCTTCCAGGATCTCACGTACACTTGCCAGTGGTTGTTACATCATTACATCATCAAACACACTCATGAGGAAAAAGTCATCAATAAATATAGGCAATGAATAATAAAGAAAAAACACAAATGCAGGATCCTAATTATCCTGTGAATAAGTTGTGTTCGTATGTGCAGGACATTACAGCACCTGTATTCCTTTATACCAACTTTACTCACATATAACGCAGTATCACCGAGCCCACACAACATTTTGAGCTCCCAGTTCCCAGGTTAAAGTTATCAGCCACGGCTGAAATACTATTTGATGGAGACAGATGAAAAGAGATGAGAAGTGGGTCCGTGGTGCTGATGTTGACAGGCTGCTCTAAAACCTCTGGTCCCAACAACTTCAGCCACAGCAGCTGCTCCCTCTGGTGTGGACGCCCCTCTACTGCATTTAGCACAAGGTCAGCTTAACAGGAACTTGAGGAACTCACCACAGTAAACGATCAGTTCAGCACCCACCTTCAGGAGCCCAGCACCACAGGAAAAGAACATCAAGGGGCAAAAATCAGATTTTTCTCAATCCTTCATCCTGCTGCAACTGTCATTCTTATCATTCATCCTAAGATCCCTTTTAACCTCACATTTCTTTATCATGCAGCATTTAAAGGGTAAAAGAACAACTCTAGTATTAACAACATTTGATGCCTTTTTTAGTTGTTTTGCAAAAAAAGAAAAAAAAAGAAATCAGCTCTACAGGCTATGTACTTACACTGATGTAACCAAATCAAGTTTTGGGAGACTTGCAATAAACAGATTATATGTAAAAAAATAAAATGAAATAAAGTAAAATAAATATAGGAAAAGTATCCACATAATCTGAACTGTGCAATATGGATTTATAGCGACAAGCTTTTGGTCAGATGTCTCAATAAATGAACTGGATTGGGCAGATGCTTTTCCAATATATTTTGTCACAGTCTCAGTTCAGGCACCTCCAACAGGCTTGTATTTGTCAGGTAATTGTTTATTAGACAAATAGATGACAAAAACAATGGACAAAATCATTGTGGCAGAGGCTGAGATATTCTTTCTAACTTTCAGTCCCAAGTAGTTGCAAAAACACTGAAACCAACTCTTCCCATGATAAAACTCCACATCCATTTGTAACACAAGCAGCTGTAAATTTCAAGTCTCAAGCTGTGAACGCTTCTTCATGTTAAATCAGTGGCCTCTAATTTCATTCTCTGTATCAGACCTCAGCATACATAAAACAATAAAAACCAAGGAGTGCACACTTTACAGACAGTAAACAGGGGTCTATTTTATTTTGAATGAGTCTTTTAATTAATGCATTTCAAGTACTCCAAAAATTACATCTCTTTGCACAATACAATTTGAAATTTTTTTTTTAGTAAAAATGTTCAAAGTGAACAAAAATTTCCGATACTGTATAAAACACAGTGAACATTAAAATCAGACAGTAGTATTACTTTTTAATCTTGTGTTCTTTCGGCCTACATCACCTACAACATTTCAACTCAATTTGGACATTTTCAGTGCACGTTTATCTAAAAACTGTACCAAGACTACGAAATTAAAAAGAAAGTAAAATTTACAGGCATTATTCTTCTGCTCTTCTACCCAAACCATGCCACAGGATAACGAAGACAAAAATGAGAATGTAACATTAACTCCATCACACTGAATTGTTTTTACCATTGATGACGGTGGAGAAAAGTATCATAAGCAAACTCCAGTTCAACTAGCACATATAAGAACATAAATAACTTAGAGGAGAGGAAAGTTTGTCACATATGAACATCTTTGAACAACTTACTCTGGAATTAGAATACAAAAAAGGAAACAGATGTATCAAAATGTAATTTTCATTTTCAAATGAAATGCAAATTTTCGAAGTACTGTACAAGTTTACATGTAAGTTCTCTAGGCCTAACAGGCGTGATCCAGCCTAGACGATGAAATTTAAAAAGAGCTCCGTTTTTGTACAGACATGAGAGGTTGTAGCAACTGCCGACCCGCCTAATTCATCTGCCATGTGAAATAAAGTGTTAGCTGTGAGACACATTATTTCTATGTCCCCTCCAGAGCACACGTGTGATTATTACGACCATCAGGACAGTGTTGGAAGATATTAGTTGAGATTAGTATTGCATGCATTTAAAAACAATAATGCCAGGATAAAATAAAGTCAGAGCAGAAAAAAAACATCCTTTGCTGAATATATAATGCAAAATCCCGTGATTTATTATTTGTGCAAAACTTTTCGCTCAGTTGTCACATTATTTTGGTGGATACAATGTTTGCATGATAAATAAATCATGGGATTTTGCATAATATACCAGATTTTTCAAATCCTTTCATTTAGTGTTGTCATTTTCCAAAATGTACCTCATGCTTTGCTGCAGCGAGAGGAAAAAAAAAACAAAAAAACACCTGAGGTGAAACAATCTGACAAAAACTATCACATCTCCTTCATTTCTTCCTTTTTTTAAAGTGGCTCCAGAAACTTCTACAGGTGCTTCCTGTGTTTTATAAAACCTGTGCACAGAGATCAGCTTTATAAAGTTATATGGCACGCTGATGTAAACTCACACTGAGGCCCGCACTCATGAGCTCTTAAGGGGATTCAGTCCATGATGAGATCTGACCAGGAGAAAAACCGCAGGTGAGTTTTAAAGAACACAAACAGCTGCTTGTCTCCAGTGAAACGAGTGAACACACTGAGGAATGTGTTTGTGAATAGTGTGACAATACCGCCGCGTTACACTGCTCCTTCCACTTGTTTAAAGACTAACATTAATAGTTGTCAAAGCAAAGAGTGTTGAGTGACATACAAATATTACAGACCTTGGTCAATTAATAGTCACATTTAATAAATGTGTCTGCATGCCCACATTGAAAAGTTCTTAGATTTGCTATCTTGAAGAATAATAGAACGATTTAATTTTACATTTTTTTTGTACATCCACACTGGAGTCATTTTTAAATTTATTATTTCCACACTCATGTAAACTAACTCTGTAACATGATACACTCTCGTTTCTAAACTAAGCCACAGCAGCCTTCACTTTCCCTTGTTTTCATATCTCAACAGGTAGAATCATCATAAACTTCATTTAGTGGTTATTCATTCTTCATTATCAAAATCAAAATCCGTAAAGACAATAAAAAGGTATACCAAACTAGGTGATCTTCCCTTTCTGTTCCCATGACTCTATACCTCATCTAGCTTGTTACACAACATGAGCAAAACATGATGTTATAGCAAGACAATAAAAAAAAAAGGATGAAGAAAAAAGGGACCTTGAACGAAGAAGGCCTAAAATGTGGGATATGGTGACCTTGTTGTTCAACTTTGAAACCTAGCAATCTAAACGTGAAAGAGATCCACCTGATTGGACGACTGACAAGAGAACTTGATGGCCTCAAATCCTCAACAGCAATGTCCAAGGAACTCCTCACAACCATCATTCCTTCTTTTATGTGTTAAGAGTCCTGAGAGCACTAACCAAAAAATAAAAGAAAAAAAGTGAAGAATTACACATTTACAGTAGAAGAAATAGTTTGTTTTCACTTATGATACACTAAATATGTACAGTCACATGCAGAAGACTGTCTGCACGAGAGACCGGAGCCTGTGTCTTTTGCCGTTTGACATGTGTAAATCAGAAAAGTGCCGCAAATCCCCTTCTGAGCGTCTCTCATTTCTGGCTTGAATGGCGAAAGAAAAGCACAGAACAATTCACCAGCAGCCATGGGTGTGTCACTCAAGAAGACGTTGCAATAGAACCAAAGAGAGAGAAAAAAAAAAAAAAAACACATCACAGAATGTACTAAAGCTACACATGATTCCTTAACTCCTTGGCACTCCTTAAAAAAAAGAAAAAAAGGTGGAAAAAGATGCTAGATCACACTGCATTGGAAATGGCTGATGGTCGAGTCCACTCCACAAAGAGCCAATTGAGTTGCTAGATAGTGTTTTCTCTTTTCCACGTGTCTGTTTTGTCTGTAGATGGAGGATATGATGGTGACTAACAACCATGTCAGGCTTTTCTTTGGATGGAGTGACGCTTTTGTTTCCCACTGTAGGCACAAGGAGGAGCCAAGGCATTGGGGGGGAGGAAGGGGTGGGGTGCAGGGTCTCAGCGTCTCATCTGGCCCATCTGATAGTTCTCTCTGGGCTGGCGGTGGTGCCTCTGGGGCTGCGCCTGCCGCTGAGGCTGCCTCTGGGGTTGCCGCTGGCCGCCGTGCCCGCCGTGGCCGCCGTGGCCGTGCTGGTGGGAGTGCGGGTGCTGAGACTGGTGCTGCACCTGGGAGTTAGCATGCTGCTGCGCTCGCCGCCTCTTCAAAGTGCCTGTCAGGAGAAAAGTTTTAGATGAGCTTGTTAAGAGACAAACTATAAGATCGACAGTGTAAACAAAATCTGTTTCATTTGAGAATCGAGCCAGAAGAAATGTCCAGAGTCCCAAAACTAAAGCTGTCTTCATTTATTGCCTCCACAACAAATGGAGGAATTTGTGACTTGTAAAGAGTCTACTGTATATCAGGTGGGAGGAAACAACCGAACTATAGAAAAACTATAGAAATAAATTACACGACATTGTTGACATTTGCAGGCATCAGTGTATGGGTATGTGGTTAACAGGCAGACAGTGTGCTAATAAGAGACATTTCATTTTGATTGTAAAAGTTCTGTTGGGCCTAAATTAAAATATATTGTATAACACAACAGGCTTTGGGGGTTTGGGAAAAATCGTGACCTTTACAATACTTAACCACACGCTTATTTTTTAAAATTTATTTATAAATTCTAAGAGTTTATTCCACTGCAACATTCATCATGCCTGTGTGCACATTTACAGTTTGACAAATTAAGGCAATACATTAACTAATATCTGTTATCCCTGTATTTGGTACAAGATCAGAGTCTGAATATGACCAAACCTTTCTATTTATTCAAGTATGGAAAACAGTTTAAACAGATTTCATTTTAATGTAGGAGTGGGAGGTGATGCACTATACATGCAATGTGTTAACTAGAAAAATAATTAATCATCAAGCTCATTACAGTCAGTAGGTGGTGTATTAGTTTGCATGTAATTGTAATTGTTAGCTGAATATGATAAGCCTCTTTTCCTCTGTTATGACAAAACGTTCTTTGTAAACCTCTGAACTCACCTGGAAGTGGTTTGGGAGGGGGAAGTTTGGGGTTACTGCTCGGTGTATGCACACTACAGATCTTAATGAAGCCAGCCATGAGCATGATGAGGGCAATACCCATCAACAGCACTGCCCACCAATGGGCCTAGAGAAGAAAACGAGGAACAGATCAAACACTATCAATACAAAGACACCTCATAATAATAACTAATCATGCAATGAAGAATCAAGAAGTCTACACGTACCACAATCCACTCTGCAATGTTCTCGTAGAGCTCCGGGTTGAAGATGGCCTTCTTTAGCCTGGCAAGTGGTCCGTCTGCATCCACCAGACGGCATTTCATGAACACGTCGCAGTAACCCTTGAAGTCGTTGCAAGGCGAGCCGGCTGGCAGCGTGGTCACTTTCTTATTAAAGAAACGAGCCAGGCGCTCTGATCCGGTGCTGCTGCACGTGTTGGGATTCACTGAGGAGATGGATCGCAGATAGTCAGAACAATTCAAATAAAAAAAAGACCAAATCACGAGTGTATTTTATTTTAAATTAAAAAAAATCTGTTATCAAGGTGGAAAAAAGGTAAATGACTCACTCTTCTCCATGCAGCACACGTGGCAAAGCTCAGTCTCGTCCTTGCCATCTTGGCTGGCACAGGTGCACGCCTCGAGCCCATACTTCTCACAGATGGAGCCAGAGCAGCCCTGCAGGGGAGGAGCATGAAGACAGGCGAGATTAGACACTGACTGGTATGAATATGAAGTTGCTATAACAACCATTTCTTCCAGGTGTTAAGTCTTCAGTCACCCACCCCATTGAGGCAGACTTGAGTCTCTCCGTGGCAGGCAGTGAAGTTGGCCTTGGGCTCAGACGTGGGGCACTGGGCACTGACTCCATTACACATGCCCTGGTGAGCACACTCTGACTCCTCCCTGCACTTGTCATTACGACCCTTGTATGTGCACTCGGCAGTACAGCAAGGACCCTGGCTGGGACTGGTGGGCAAGAGACAGGTGTTGTTCAAAAGTCATCGCAAATGAGCTGGCAGGTCTTTCTCATGAAACATCAAACAAAAATTTAAAAATAACATCCCCGTCTACCTGCAGACTTTGTTGGGCTTTAATTTGCACTTCTTGTTGTCAGCTTGGTTGGCATCATAGCAACACTGGTCCCTGCACTGATCGCTGTAGCCACAGTCACACTCCTCTCCTGGCTCCACCAGGCCGTTACCACAGATGGGCTGGCCAGACTCTGTTTGGGAAAGAAAGAATAAACATTGAGCCTGGTCCCCCAAAACTAGAAAACCGTGTTTGATTCTTTGACTTATGGCACATGGGACTAAAAGTTACTACAAAAACCGTCTCATTACAAAGCCAAACCAAACAAATACTCCTGTGAAGAGAATAAGTTGCAGCAATAATAGAAACACAAAATCAGTGTTAAAGTGTTTGCTCAAAAGCAAACACACCCTCCGGAAAGCCCAATGCAGCATTAAACCCAAACAAACACTCTCATTAGTCTGTTGGTGGAAAAGCTGAAATATCAGGCAGTTCAGGTGCACCAAGACTTTTGGAAGCTAACATGAATATTTAAATATTTTTCCACTAATATCAGCCAAGACTGATATGCTTGATACTGCATGTGCAGAACTAATAAGACTTTGTAGACATGCCAATCTTATGGTTAAGTAACTGAATGATTGAGAAGTATTTAGGTTGCTGATGAAAGTTGTATTAAGTGATACAAAAAAAAAGAAAAGAAAAAGACATCACAAATAGCACAATCGGCCAAATACTGTCAGTAAAAATAATACTGGACTGATGCCAATATTGCTTTTCAAAGGCAATACCAGCTAGAGTCCTGGTGCATTTTTAGTTACATGGATTAACTTTCCAGTCATCACTGGGCTTCAAAATCTCCTACACTCTCCAGTACAAGTAAGAATCAAGAGTCATACTGTGGTTTCTATTTACATGTCTGGAACAAAGCTTAGTACCAAGGTCAAGCACAAACATTAAAACGTACCGACAAAGCAGTTGCTTCTCTTTTTTTCCAGCACCTGGCTGATGTTGCGAACGCTACATATGGAGAACTTATTGTTGTTGAGCTTGTCTCCTGATGTAGCTCTTGCATACATGATATAATTGCCCTTCTCCTTCTTGTCTTGGCTCTTGGATTCTCCAGGGGTGCACTCAGATCCAGAGTCATGCTGAGAGTGAGAAAGGAAAAGAAAAATCACAGGTTAAAAGAAGAAGGGACAAAGTGTACGAGCCCCTTATAAATTCCTTCTCACCATGTATAAATGTGGAACATCTAAGTAACTCACCGGGGAGCCAAAGTTGTGTCCTACTTCATGAGCAAAAGTGATATGGGAGACTTTTGGAGGTACGTGGGAGGCATAGTTCTGTACAGTGATTATACCAGTGTTGAGAGACTTCTTTTTTCCGTCTGAGTACAGCTTGCTTTTTTCACAGATGCCTCCAGAGCTCCCTGAGAAGGAAAAGCACAGGTTGGAACCAGAGCTAAAAAACACAAAGGATTTTGCTCGTTAAGGAGAGGAAATCTGATTATGGTACCGGTAGTTACAATTATTCATTATTCTTTTCTAGAATAGTCCAACATTCAACCAAGATTGGGTGATAATGTGCCCACAACCCAGTACAAAGACTGTGATGTGTTTATATAATGGGTTAAAACCTGCATCTGTTGGTTAGGAATTTATTCACATCTTGCTTTAAAAATAGGACAGACTGTTTGCTATTGCTCATCGTGATGATACACAGAATTGTCTTTCAGTACCTGAGGGGGCTCCCACCCAGGCCAAACCCAACACTCCGTCATCAAAGTCTCTGTCGGTGAAAACATAAGCCAAGCAGTAGTCGTCATGGTTCTGCTCCGAGTTGAGCTCCAGGAACTTCTCCACGCCAATGTTGGCAAAGCGGAACGGGTTGGACCTGTCCCTCTCATCATTGGTGGTGTTTATCTGTGAAGGGGGATGAGGATGAGTTCAGAGAAAAAGCGGTGACCAAATATAAAATGTAAACTGAAAATCAATTCATCAGTACAAGACTTACTCTGATCCTTTTCACCATGAAGCTGATGTTGCGAATGCCCATGAAATCTGTGCCCTGGTAGATTGCATCAATGGCCTTGACATGGCTGGAGATCTGAAGCAGAAAAAGGTAACACACAGCACTCGATGAAAAGGCTTTAGCTGTGAGGATCTAAACACAGTTTCAACAGCCTGTTGACTAAACCCACATTTCACTGCCAGATTCAGTGTGTAATGTGTGCAAATATACAATAACACAACACCAAATGTACGCTATGCTTGTAAAGAGGTAAATAAATAAATTGTTAGTGTCACTGTATTCTGTGCAGTGTCCGTGGCTTAACTAATGTTAGACTAACAAACACTACAGCAGCCAAAATTAGCCAAGTTTAATTATTTCACAATGTATTTGAGGAGCAGTATTGTCAGTTTTTAAAAAAAATAATTTTAAAGGAATAGTTTAACATTTTGAGAAATATGCTCATTGGCTTTCTTTTCATTAGTTAGATGTGGAAGTTCATGTTACTGTCATAACTGTACGGTAAATGTAACGCTACCAACAGCAGACGCTTAGCTTAGCTTAGCATGAAGAGAACCAGGAGGAATTAACAGGTAATTTACACATTATATCTTGTTTGACAGATGGATATCGATCTTCTCATCAAACTCTCTGCAAGAACACCAGTATTTCCAAAACACTATTCTTTACATATACAATATTTCCATTGGAATTACACTTTTACTGACATTTACTACTTGTTGCATTTTTTGTGTACTTCCAGGCTCTGACTTTAAATTCAAAACAGGGAAGCTGAACATTACTGCACACAACCCTAGAGTGAACCCTTGAGTTATTTTTTTTTTTGCTCTATTGAAAGTGTTATGACTCACCCCTTGCACTGAGTAAGAGGTGTTATTATTCCAATACTAATTATCCTTTAAACTCAGCACTAATGAGCCGTTTCTGATGGTTAAAAAAGTGCCTCTGCACCAACATCACCAGACAAAAGCCCTCCACACTCACTGTGTAAAACTCATTTTAACAGCAGCCCAGTAGCATGAGTCAAGTGAATACACTGAGTGTGTATTACCTGGGCAATGACAGCCTCTCTGGTCTTGTAGTATTTGTAGAAGAGGTGGTCAGTCTGAATGAAAAGCTGGCAGGTATTTTTCTCAGCCTGGGCCATCCTCTTCCTCCTGAGCAGCACGGGGTCATAGGAGCCATCCTCAGTGTGGAGTTCCTGGTGTGAGCAGCACAGGGAATGGAGAGTAGGAAATAGACAGTTAAATAAAACATATATATTGCATTTTCAACCAAACAGTGGCTAAATAAATAATGTCCGGTATTTTTAGGCTGTGGTTTTCCAGCTGCAGCATGTTCATGGACGGCAACTGCACTGAGGAACATGTGCTTCTTATGTCACATAAGAGGATATAGTGGGAAAAGAGGAAAGAACAAGAAAAAAACCACACTAAGCATCCAGTTAAAGGAATGTCCTTTCTAATAAACTCAGACCAACAAGTGGTGGTTGCCGTTTTCATGTTGTGTGCAGTTTTAAGTAGCTCGTTTGTTTCTTCATTAATTACCATTACAAGCATAAGGGAAAGCATCTGATTAGTAAAATAAATAAATACGAGGTAATCTTAGTTACACTGATCTCAGGGTTTTCCATCTGATAAAAATTTTTAATTAAAAAGTTTAAAGATTAAAAAGAAGAGTTTAATTTTGTTTGTTTTTTTATGCAGGTAAGTATGCCATTGTTCTTTTTGTAAAACACTAGCAACTATGAACAAGTTATGTGGTATGAAAATAAACTGGAAAGAAACTAGTGTATATCAGTACAAATAATAATAATAATAATGATAGCATTTTTATTTTTGGTTCATATGGTACAAATTGCATCTGTGTTTGGTTTAGAAAAGGAGGCACAACTTGAGAAAAAGGGTGAAAATCGTTCTTCAGTTGAAAGAGTCTTTGAAGATTCTGGAAATACCTTCAGAACAGCAGTAAGTGTTGTTAAATGGCCTTTCAGGTTTTTCAAAGATTGCGGCGTAGTTATTTTCCAGAAAATTGGGTGCTTAGCTCTGTGACTTGAATGTAATGATAATACACAGGAGGCACAAGCCGGGGCTAGATTTATTGGATGCTGGGCAGTGTGATTAACCTAGCTTTCCTCAATTCAAGGAGGACTATGAAATCAGTAACAGCTCCTCTCAAATGAAAAGAAATACAACATGAAACTTCTCTTAAGATGACTGGCTGATAGAATTAATTTATACATTTAGGTGATTTCAGAATTTACAAAGAAATTATATGACGTCAAACCTCCGAGCCACTTCGTCTTTATGTGAACATACACTCAAGCAAATCACATGAATGCATTTTTTGGTAGTCATTCCAGACATGTCACTGCTACTATACATTGATTATATTGTATTTATGCATGTAAGTATTTGTTAAAAAAAACATTAGATTAACATAAGGTTAAGTGTTGACTGTGACTGTGCTGGTTACACTTGTATACATGTTAACCGATGTTTGACCAATTCACATTACTGTATCTAAGCTTAATCAAATGAATATTGTTTTGAGGAGTAGGAACGTCACTTTTTTCATAGAGTTTGAACATCCAATATTTCAATGGGATAATACTTTGATGGACATTTGCTATTTGTGCCATTTGTTGTGTATTTCCGGGCTCTGAGTTTAAAATTTTCAAACAGGAAACCAGGCATTACTATGCACAGCCCTACTTTAGGATGACATATAACACTTCCAGCAAAGAACAACTTGTTTTCCTAAGCTACCAATTTATCATGTAGACATCCATTAATTAAGCTGAGACAGGCTATTCTCATCCGTCAATATAAGTGCAAACTGCACACAGAAACTTTAAAAAAGCCTCTATGGGTATCTGTGACCCTGACAAAGTAGAAAAAATGTAAAAAAAAAAAAAAAAAAAACCCTCAAAAATCAAACTCTCTTTCCCCAACACTGTGAGGATTTATTGTGGTGTGTATGGTGAAGTTCACCTTGGGTGGCTCCTCTACGGCAGAGGCTTGGTACTTCTTCATCCTTTCAAACACTGAGCTATCAGCACAGCCTCCCTCTGGGCCGTACTTGTGAGGGTAGTCTGAGTGAGAGAGGCAGACACAACACTGTTAGGATTATGGGAGACAATGTTAGCTACTTAACCCCCTGAGTCACTCTATTTCTGGCGCTATTCATGATCAGCTAATGGATGTACTTACACGCCACTTGAGCCTAGCTTTGCTGTGTGAGCTGTTACTTTCCTGTGACTCTCATTAGCAATTCTTCTCCTATTTCTGTTTAATTTGCCCCTCAGCCACATACTATATGTACACAGATGATTTGAAATTACGGGGTGCAAGTGTAGTGAAGTGTGCTTGGTGCTCACTACCAGTACCAGCAGTGTAAAGACTGCTTAAATGAGTCAGTAGCCCAAGAGAAAGATCGTGTTACTCAGCTAATGAGCACCTCAGGTATCTTTGCTCCCTGGGGGGCGACTACACCAGTCTGACTCCATCAGCTCAACTGCCCTAACCTTGCACTTTCCCGATCGCACATTTACATATACACGCATCCAATTACACAAACCCGGTAGTTACAACGACTGGCTATCAAAGTATTTGTGCAACTGAATTTCCTGGGGACTTACGTATGTCGTCTTCGTGGTAGATGACAGAGTGGAAGGGCACATCCTTGCCCTCCAAGTATCTCTCAGAAGGCTCCACGTAGTAGGTGCCGTGGTAGCTCTGAATGAAGCCCTCAAACTTACCATCCACAATTGAGCCATGAGTCAGGGTACCTTTCTCACCTGGGAATCCAAATTACAGAGAAACAGGTGTCAGAGGATTCACACAGGATCAGAAAACACGATACACAACAAATGCCTAGGTCTGCATTACTGCTTTCATTATTAAGAAGTAGATAAAAACTGGTGGATTTAAATTAAAAGTACAGTCTCACCGAAGATTTCTCCAGTGTAGATATGAGAGGTATCAAATGGAATTTCTTCTCCTGAAACATCAACCTTTAAATCTTGGGAAAACAAGGTGGTATCCCTCTTCATTCGCAAATTAAAATGCCTGCAACCAAAGACAATAAGACAACTGTTTTACTTATATTGCAAGAAGTTTGTTTCCTGGATGTCTCCTCGTTTATTCATGTCACAGAGCAGGAGCCTATGGATTTGGGTGTGGATCTGAATTTGGCTTCACTTTTTTTCTTTTTAGAGGTAAGGGTTAGGGTAAGTAATATTCCCCCAGCCTTTGAGAAAAAGGAAAATGCAAATGAAAGGGGAAAACGGGTGAAAGCAAGGGCATGGTTTGGCAGAGAGAAAAAACATCTTAAAAGTTTTCTGTTGCAGAGGGGGAGAAGAGAAACTGCAGTCTTTATCTTTCAAGGAAGGGGAACAGGAAATTAGGACAACTTGAAACAATGCTGACTTTTTTTGTTGAAAACAGAGAAACAAATATGTATCAGTAACCTTTGGTTTCATGTAACACCTACACAGTGTTCTTATTGTATGCTTGTATTGTGTGTAAGTTACTGTTCTGTAGGTCGGTGCACAGCAGCTGACTGACGGCTTTGGGAAAACTTTAGATCAGAAAAATATGGTCAAAGTTGACATGATGGCACACAAAGCTTACTCTGTATGTGTACAATATCTATTGAATAACAGTTACTTTGTTGAGACTTAGTCTCAGGGGGTAAATCTAAGGTGCACAAAGTCCAGGATGCAGTAAAATATCAGCTATTTCAGACATATATAGACATTTTGTTCAAACCTGGCAAGGGGAATGTGGGTGGTGCTCCAAATTAAATGTAAGAATTTGAGTTGTGTCTGTAGCTTTGTCATGAAGTCAAAGGGAAAAGAAGCTGACACATTCCTGCTTTTCAAAGGAACAGACATCTTCCTTCTATGTGCTTGTTTGCACAGCTCTTATCGTTTTCTTCCCTATTAAGCACCATCAGAGTTTAGGAACAGCAGGCCCTGCTACAGGCAGGATGATAAACAGCCTTTGCCAAGCTCCCAGCCAGATGGTCTTGACTTTGTCATGGAGAGTGTGGACACTTTCTATCAAACACCACCACCTCTTCAAAATGCTGGAAGAGAAACAACAAGGACTATATGTATGCAAGTATGCATCTATCTATCCATCTATCTATCCTTCTATCCATCCATGCCTGCCTGCCTTGAGTGGGCTGCCACCCAGGTATCAAGAGAATGAAAACACCCAATCCATCAAATGGCTAACTAACATACAGACAAACACTTTCAGTCTATATTTCACCTGACCAGCATGTATATAGAATATGGCAGAAAATCACAACAACCCCAACTAATAATTATTTTCATTATTGATTAATCTCTTCAATCAATCTCCTCGATCAATCAAATCGATTAATTGTTTATCTTTTAAAATGTCAGAAAATAGTAATAAAAAAAAAAACAAAAAAAAACAAAACAGTTACAATTATCTAAAGCCAAAGTTTGTGTCTTCATATATCTTGTTTTTTCTAACCAACATTGCCAAACCCAAAAATTATGAGTTTACTATCACATAAGACAAAGAAAAGCAGCAAATGTGCAAAACTGAGATTCTGGATCTAGGAAATATATGGTATTATTGCTTGAAACCATTAATCAACTATCAAAACAGTTGCCTTTTCATCTTCTGTTGATCGATCAATCAATTAATTGTTTTAGCTCTAATGGAGAAACTTATAGAAACTACACAGAAAAAAAACAAAGCTGAGAATTAAAATCCATCCTCACCACAGTCTCAAAGTGATGCCCCTGACGCGGTCTATGATTTCATAAAACAGGCATTAAATGTAAACATCTTTCAAGCACTCCACAATCTCTGCTGGAGCTGACCTCCACCTTTTTCTCATAAACAATGTAGGCATAGGGGATGAGCTTTGCAAATAAATAAACAGAGAGAGACATAAAAATAGACAGAGAGGCAGAATTTCCCTTTAGGTTAATATCTGGAAAAACTGACAAACCTTCCATGGGCATGAAAATCTAAATGAAGGAACTTGTCTTCATGAGATAGCGCCCTCTTGGCCCTTTGATGCTTGCTGTGCACAAGCTCTGTGTCGTAAGTCAGGCCTTCATAGTGGCGGATGTACTTGTTCAGGGGATTTCTGTAGTGTCCTGTTTGAAAAGAACAGAGGAAATCCTGTTATCACCAAAAACAAGGAAATTTCACACCTAATGAAAGTCATCCCAGGTGTATGGACACAATTTCATTTTTTTTTTTTTTTTTTTTTAGATTTTTTATGCATGCACTGTACATAATCAAAAATGTGTGTGTATACATGTGTCTCAGAGATCATTAGACAAAATTTAATAAAAGAATATTATTTAAAGGTAGCATGAAAATATACATATAAAAGATAAAATGTACACAACCAAAAATTGGGCATAAAACAATAACACCCAAGTGCATAACTTCGTAACAGAGTGTCTACCACATCCGCTATTCTTGGCAGATTGCATTAAGACAGAAACACTTGTTTGGATGTTAGGCAATATAGTTAAAGCATTAGATACATTATTTTAATCTTTTAAGTGACATTAGAGTATAACAGCTATGTATTAGAGTAAATAACTAAGACATGGTACATGTTAAGATAATTTAGGTGCCGATAAAATGGATGATCAGGCAGATATTTGACAGGCAGGATTAAAATGATGGAAAATGACAGCAAACCAGCATGGCCTGTTTTTAAAACCCTGCTAAATCTATTTAAGTCAAATGGATGCCAGTTTTGGAGCTGTGCTAAACAACAGCCCCCAGTGTCACAGCATAATTATTTCGCCAACAGAAGAGTGGGTGGTGGGCTCGAAGGAAAAAGATTCTCGAGCGCCTCCACCCATTTCACCAACTGCTTCACACTCAAAAGCATTTGGACAAACTCCATTTCAAGGAAACATAGTATTTTTGTTCAGGCCATTTAAGCCCTTCTGCAAGTTACTTCTACTTGCATATTTGCCCCATAACATATAAATCAAAAGAAAGTATTTTAAGTAAATACAGTATATGTAATTAGTACTCTCTGGCAGATAATTATGCCTGACTAGTGGGCCATAAATTGCAGGATTCAGAGTAAGTATGTAACAAAGATGGGTAAGTAGTCCAGGCTTCAGCTACTTCTCCAGTCATGTGCATTATGAAATATTTAGGTGCTAACATTAAATTTTTCATTGAGGTGACTATGAGAAGTGAAGGCCATGACTATTCTGAAATACCTTAATTCCTCAAGGCCTACAACACATAGGACAATAAACACTGAGTAAACACAAGGATTCCTGATTTCTACTTTTCCGTGATCATACAAAACCATCAGAAATACTCAACAACCTACACAAACCAACATAATAATTATAAAATAAGTGGTTAAGCACAAATATCAACATATTTCGATGTTAATTTTACCACACGGAATTGGCCAAATGTGTGAAATGACAATAACTGCTACTTTTGACAGTTTGACAAGGGATCCAATTTGAGGTGTAAAATGTGTGGATTGTGAATGGAGAATTTGGTCAGTGCAAGTGACTGAGACCTAAACAGTAAATAAAAGTAATATAGAGCTAATTTATTTCACTATACTGGATTTAAAACCGCAATAGCAGTATATAGCAGTTGTATGATAGCATGGGTACAACAGCCAGGTTGCAGGGAGGTAATTTTGCTTTCAAAATATATATATGAGAATTATTTTCAACATGTTTAATCCAAAGTTCTTGCGGCTAACATTAAATTGGAAAACAGTGAGAAAAGCTGAACACACTGCAGTGACCGGGGGCAACACAGAAAGTAAAATTATGCCAGCAACCCTGAAAACTCATGTCACGTAAATTGTTATCGCTAGCCTGTTTCAGATAACATAATGTCAGAAGCTAAACTTCGTATTTTGACAAAATTGTTAATGTTAGTGGCTGAAGTGTTAGCTAGCACAAAGCTAACGGTCCGTTTAGCCAGTCGGCATCTCCATCTTCTCATAACAATGGCTGTCGGCGCTATTCGCACGATAACAACAAAACCAAACCAAACCTGACAATAAAAACTGTGACAACACACAGAAACAACTCAGCAATATCGCTTTATTCCAATCAACCCCACGAATCCAAGTCCGCTTTTGCGTTATGTATCATTTGTTAGCTAGAAGTAAGACGGCAAAAAGGGTGCAGTCCTCTTCACAACAAGCAGGCCCCGCTGATCCCTCCTGTTAGCTAACGGGCTACCAGCCTTTCTGCTCCTCTCAGCCGCGGATTCATGGAATCAACACAGCGTGTACGGTTTTCTCTGAAAATGCTTCACTCACCTTGGGTGTAGTTTAGTAGGTACACGAAGAGGAAAACTTTGATAAGAAGCATATCTGATAGATCCATTGTTAGAGCATTGATACCGTTTTCACTTTATTGTCCTACTTAGATAGGCGCAGACGCCCTGTGTGTTTATTGCAGCTTCCTCTCATCGCCTCCCCTCGCTCTCTCTCTCTCTTTGCGCCCTGACGTCAGACGCAGGGCGGCTTGGCATCCCTTCCCCCCAAAGGCGTCCATGATCCAGGCCTGCGAACATGACAGCGCTGACTGCGCCTGGCTCTCATTTAATGTATGGAATGTATCTGTCTTTTTCCACTGTTACCATGGAAGTATTATACGACCAGATACATTCTAAATTAAATAAACCAAATACTACAATTTTGAGGTACTTTTACTTGAGTATTTATGCTACTTTATAATTCTACTTTATTACAATTAAGAGGGAAATATTGTACTTTTATTTTACATTTATCTTAAAGTTATAGTTAGTTGCATTAATTTTACATACAAAACGTGATTCATTTTTAAAATATGTATATATATGTATTATTATTAATATTTATTGCATATTATTATATATGTATCTATGGATTAAGGCACTGGAGTTGTACAAAGCCCTGTTAGGATTTACATGAGGTCAACATGTACTAACAAGAATGATAAAGTAACTTGTCTCACAATAATAATGATAAAGTAACTTGTCTCAAAACAAAATGAACAGCATATCTCTGTAGTCTGCCCAGAATTATTAGTTTTCATCTTCCTGCTAAGATATTATCTTGTACACAAAACATTAAAGAAACGTCATCTTTCGGATCTTGAGTGCTCCATAACTGAACATTCTGTAAGGGGCAATTCTACATAATGAGCACTTGAACATTTTGCTGGCAATACTTACAGTCTTTCACTCAAGTAGAATTCTAATGGCAGGACAGAATATTTTAAAACTGTGATATTGCTACTTAAAGATCTGATTTCTTCTTTCACTAGTGCTTTTTTATTTAGTTCAGAGGGAGATCTTTTGTTATTATTACATACATCAAGTCATTTTTTATTTTTTTTTAATTAATTAAACAGAAATGCTGGAACAGTTCCAAGGTCCATCTTCTCAGTTGTGAGGATTTGCTGTTTTCGTTTGTTTGTTGTCTTATGTGATGATTCTTATAGTAAACTGACCATCAGTCAGACCAAACAATCAATGTAATTATTATATAAAATTGTGATGCGATTTTCCACTATTTGACATTTTATTTATAGTTAATAGAGAAAACAAAGCAGTTTAATCGATAATGAAAACAACCATGAATTGCAGCTCTATTATTCCTTTCTTGGTACCTAACTGATGTTTTTTTCAGGTAGAGTAATGGCAAAACTAAATATTTATAGCCATATTATCACAGTAATTACTTGCATAACAAACTTGTAGAGCTGTCATACAATTCATAAGCAGCCAACTAAACGTTTACGTTGCTTGGCAACCCAAGATCCTGAGAATATAGTGTTGCCAAAGAGAAGGAAACACCATCAATTTTGTGTGGTTGTTGAAATAATTTCCTGGTATGCATCAGCTCTGGTTATGTTAGCTATTTCTGATTCTGGCAGTTCTCAGTGATGATCATCTCATGATGCACCTCTTCCTGTTGAAGGCAGTGGTTTCCTCGATGATAACACCACATGGCACAAGTAACACTCCTTCCTTATACTCAAATAGGAATAAATTTGTTATATATGGAAGACAAATGGAATTTTTGGAGATAAACATCTACATCCAGTCTAGATGACCAGAGTCAGAAAAAGCACTCAAATCATGTTTTTGAGTCTTTCCGTTGATGTTTCCATTTCCACCACACTCTGATTAATTAGCAGCAAATTTGTAATCAGTCCTTCTGGGTCTGTTTATTCCAGACGAGCTCCCCTGGCTCCAGTGGCCGCCACATGACACACCTCCACGTCAGCCCCCAGTTTCTGCAGCTCATCCAGCCAGATCTGTTGCTTTTGGGATAGCCGGTCATTGGGCCCCTTCACCTCCACCAGCTACAACAAGACAACCCATGTCACAGGCCAAAACGCAGTATAATCCATGTAATCAGACAAGAAATAATCAGGAACCACAGAGCGTCTGAATCCATACATAAAGGAAAATATCTAATTCAAACCGCCATGATGTGATGTGGTCTCACCTTGTAAGTGTTGTTTGAGGTGTTCCACACCACTAGATCAGGCAAACCTCCACGGCAGTGTCTGTAGTCTTTTGACATTCTTGCTATTACTCCTCCTAAGAAGGCTCCACCAAGGCAAGACACGAGAGACTGCAAATATCAGTGTTTAGAAGTTGTTATGTTAGTACCATGTTATTGCCTACAATAACACATGTAGACAAACATCTGATCCTATTTGTTTATTGAAGCTCATCACGGCATAATTTGCATTATCTGTCCCATTGTAACTACACACAATGTCAGAATCACTATATAGATTACATTTATATAATGTATAATGTGATATACAAAGTTTTGCTCATTAATCTATACATTATAATGATAAAGTGAAAATAAGTCTTATTTATTTATTAAAAAGCAAAAACTGAAATGTCTCATTTACAAAAGTAATCAGACCCATAACTCAGTAGTTTTGGGCAGCAATTACAGCTTTAAGTCTTCTAGGGTAAATCTCAAGCTTTGCACACCTGGATTTGGGCAGTGTATCTCACTCTTCCTGGCAGACCCTTTCAAACTCCATCATGGATGGGAAGCATCTTCAGAACCGCCATCTTCAGGTTTCTTTACAAATGGAGTACATGGGCCTCTCTGTGTTTGGTTGCATTAATCAATTCTGACCGGTCTCCCTGTCTGAGAAGCACCCGCATAGCAGGATGCTGCCACCATAGGGATGCTTCACCATAGGGATGGTATTAGCCACGTGATGAGCAGTACCTGGTGTTCACCAGATATAGTACCTGAAGTTCAATTTTTAACTCATCAGACCAGAGAACCTTTTTCCTCATGCTCAGATTCCTTTAAATGTCATTTGGCAAACTCCAAGCAGACTGTCATATTCCTTTTACTCACAGTGGCTTCTGTCTTGCCACTGCACCATGAAGGCCTGATTGTTGGGAGGGCTGCTGAGATGGTTGTTCTTTAGGGAGATTCTTCCATCTCTGCAGAGGACTTCTCAAGTTCTGTTTGAGCGTCCTGGTGGTTCCAAACTCCCACTTCACAAATACTGAGGCCACTGTGCTCTTTATGCCTTTGCCCTCATCTATGCTTCGCTACAATTTCCCTTGGATTTTTTCCTGACATGCATTATAAATCATGAATTATAGGACCTTATACACAGGTGTGTACTTTTCTAATACTATGTCCATTCAATTTGTCACAGGTGAGCTCCAATCAAGTTCTAGACACATCAAGGAAAGTTATGGCAAACAGGAGGCACCTGACCACAGGTGCCACAGCAAAGGGTCATAATACTTTTGTAAATGTAAGATTTCAGTATTATTTCATATTTCAGTCTAAAAAACATTTAAAACATGTTTTCACTTTGTCATTATGAAGTGTGCAAAAAGTGACTGGGACTGAATACTTCCTGATGCCTCTGTGTATTCACAAGAGTGACAGTAAATACCTGTGCCTGTTGAAGGGATGAGAAACGCTCCCAGCTGACCAATGAACACACTTTACCCTCCTGTGAGGTCCAGACATCCTCCAACATGCTATGTAGTGTCTCCACAGACGCCTCAATGAGTAACTGAACACGAGAATCAATCGCCTCCTTTCTGTTCTCATAGAAACAGTCAGTGTAAAAATCCAGTGGACATGTCTGTTGGGGGGAAAATAAACATAAATTAAACTTGTATAGATGTACGGTTATTCAACAACACTTTTATGGAGCTTACTTTTACCTGGAATGGGTTCCGGAAAACATCTGGAATACCTTCCATAAAAATGATATCCCACAGCAAAAGAGCAAACAACATAGAGAATGTTGAACCTTCACCATGGATCCCTGTTACATTAAAAAAAATGACAGTACAGTTCTTGTGATCAGAGGATATCCACATCTTTTTATTTTTCGATAGGAGTGGAAAAGTTGTTTACCTTGGTCAAAACCTTGTTGGCTGTAATGTGCTAAAGACAGTTCTTCCACAGAACATATTACAGTTGCATCAGCACTCTCTTCCCCCTCTCCATTTGCCGGTAAAAGAAACCTAGATTTCCCCATGCCTCCTTCATGAGGAAACAGCTGTCCTCGGATTGTTACCTGCAGACACAAGCATGTTTACTTTCATACACCAAACAATTTCCCAGGAAAGCCCAGTACTGACAGATCGTGCCAAACTCACATGTTTGACGTCTTGGACATGAATAGAGGGTAAGTTTCTGAGTTGCAGGTAGTACTTCTTGAAGCTGGCAGACTCTTTCATCCTAACAGCTCTCTGATGCAGGGCGAGTTTATGTCCTGTTCGTACCAGAGTGTCTGACAGCCCATCTCTAATAGCACAAATAGCCTTGGGGCAATGGGAAAAGACCAACAGTCAAACAAATGACAACACAACATCTATTACTGAGCACCGTGTCACACTAAGAGATAAATGAGATAAATGAATGTCTCTGAGGAGGTGAGTGGTGCTCACTTCCTCAGGTTTTTTGAGGTGCTGGTGAAGGTTTAGTGCCAGTCTGTCCCACCATCGTCCTCGGCTGTCAGGACAGTAAACAGTCTGCAACAGTAAAGACCGCAGCTCCTTTACTGCTTCCTGAAACACAAAAGTAACCGCTTTAATTATGACGTACTTCATAAATAGTTCAATCTGTGACAGGGTGTGAGTGGATGAGGTCATCAAACCTCATATTGACGTAGCCTCTGCAAGATCTCCACCCCTCTAGATAAAATACGAGTGTAAGCCCATCCTGTAGTGAAGCTGCGCAGGAACACAGGCAGCTCTTCCTGATGGCTATCCAACACAATAGTAATGTTAACATTAAACAATCACAAGGGACTCTTCACACAGAAACAAATAAATAGATTGATGTCCTCATCACCTCAAGTCATGGTTTTTCCTCAGCTCCTGCCAGGCACTTTTGGCAGTGATGTAAAGCTCTAGGGCCTCTTCCCACTGACCCACCTGCATAGCTGAGATAACCTCCTGCAGGGATCGCATGGATGCTTCATATCTGGTGAGAAGGATGGAGTCAGAAGTACACATACCTGTCTATCCTGCTTAGAGAAAATACAATAAACTCAATTTAACTCTTTCTCACCTGATCAGATCCTCTCTGTCCTGGAACACCTTGGCTGTACGCTTCACTGTGTAGTCCGGGAAGGTCAGACGTCCTGAGTTGACCAGCAGGATGGTAAAAAGCTGGCTCTGGCCACCAGCCGCCATCTCCTCCTCATCCATGCTGTCCGTCAGAGAAAAGAGCAGAAGGATGCGAGAGAAGACAGCCCGAGGAGCACGACACAGACGCACACAGGAACCTGCAAGCTGCTTCGCCCTTTAATGTCGGAGAGGACAGGGGTGAGATCATCACTGTAATACCAGTGCTGTGAATAAACCAAAGGTAACTGATCATCTCACCTTTTGAGGATGACAGCCCTAATGTTGTTTTGAGCAGAGGCCAGAGAGAAGAGGGACTTTTGCTTGCTCAGACGAAGGAGCCCATCCACCAGCTGCTGTTTCTGAGTCCCAGAACTGCCCAGGTGGAAGGTCTTAGCCAGAACTTTGAGTTCAGGAGCAGGCAGGAGATCCAGAGCCTCTTCTAGGTCCTCAAGATCATTTTCTTTGAGATGCAAAAATTATCATAGGTGGGCATTAACAAGAGAAAAATAAATAATTTATGTGTTTGAGGTGATGTAGTGTACTCCAAGTGTTACAAGCTAATTCCATCAATCATCCATTGTCTAAGCAGTCATAAAAAAAAAAGACAAAAATTAATATACAGCCTGCAGCAGCATGGTAATAAATATGTCAGTAATTCAGCTAACTCAGACAGAGATGTTCTTAAATATTTGAAAGTTTCAGTCATCATTTACCTGTCTGTAGAAAGCCATCTTGAGCCAGCTCCTGAGCAACAGGTTCCAGGTCGCTGCTTATCTCTTCATAATCTAGTTTATTCACTTGAAGCCACTTCAGCTTCCTCTGAAAGAGCCTCACGTACAGCTTCTGTCCCATGACTTTTGATAGAGAAGAAACATGAAAACAATTAAGCCTGGTTTCATTATTATTTTCTTTTTTTTTTAATGACAATATCCGAGTGATATTCCAGCATACCTGACAGCCTCTCGAATGCATGTACGAGTGACATATCATCCTGGTTGAACAAGGCCCTGTCGTCCTCATTCTCCAGCACAGCCTGTAATACAGTCCGGAAGTTTCTGAGGTAGTAGGGAAGTCGTGGTAGGTGAAGGCTCTCCACAGCCTGCTCACTGGGGGTTTGCTGAGCACAAAACTCTGGCAGCGAAACACTATGGATGACTGCAGCATTTTTCACAAAAATTTCCTCTGAACTCAGAAGGGGGTCAGAAGAAGAGGTAGAGGGCATTTCAGTTTTATGTTGGTCCACATCAGCCATCTCTGTTTTATTTTCAATTGGCAACACCTCCTCTGGCTCCCTGCTCCTCTCAAATTTTGCTCTCTTTCTGAAACCAGATGTCTTGCCAGTTGAAGTCGTTTCCTTTTTCCTCTTTGCTAGTTTGGAGGAAGAAGGGTGCAATGTTGGAGTAACCACTTTTTGGAAAGTCTCAGGTTTAGGTGTGTTCTGTTTAAGATTACATCCTTTTTCTGAACTCAATAGATCTCCCACTGCTGGTGGAGTCTCAGCATTTGTTGCTGTCAGGTCAATGACTGTCACAGAGTCTTTTTTGTTCTCTGAACCCTGAATAAGAACATTTTCTTTCTGTGAGCTGCTGAGTGTCTCAGGAGGATCGCTCTCCTTTTCAGGGTGCGCTGGTACATGTTTACCATCTGTCGGTGCCCTCTCTGGTAGCTTAAGACACTTTCTAGATAGCTTGGAGGAGAGACTTCCCAGGTCAATTGTCCTAACCACAGTTTTACTGTTTATCTCCCGTGGTTCCTGCTGAATGTTGTTCTTTTTGAAATAAGGACTGGTCTTGGTCTCTTTGACATCTTCTTCCTTTTTTCGATTCTGCTCTGGGGACTTTGTGGGATTCTTTTTGGGTGACAGCTGGATGCTTGGCACAACACTATTACTTGCTGAGGCGGCACTGCTGTCTCCTCTCTCAAAGTTCTGACATTGCAAATCAATGTGCTCATTGATCTTGAATTTTGGTACCAATTGGCCACACAGGGGGCAGGCCAGCTTAGATGGAGGCTGGTTGCTGAAGAAGGAGGTGATTGGAGTCGAGGTGGCAGCACTGGCAGAAATCCCAGCTATGACATTGCCTTTCTTCTTGCTCTTGGACAATGACAGACTTCTCTTCAGTTTGCCTTTGTTGGCTCTCTCGGTCATGGTGCAGGTGGCTGTGGTGTTGCTCGATGAAAACGCTTTTTAGACACTTTTCACGTTGCATACTCCGAGATGAATGATGCTGTGGCTCCGTTTAGCTTACTTACAAGCTAACTTGGCTCAGAAATACACACTTTACACATTTTAAATAGTTACATATTTGCAGCTCAATCATTATAAAAAACTAAAAAGAAAACATTAATATAAAAACTGCCAGTGGTTCAATACATAAGGTAACATACCGGTGGTGTTTGGTAACAGAAGAGCTGCATGACAATCCCGCTTCTCAGGCTCAACCAGCGGAGCACAGAACGCCTCTTAGGCAGAAATAATCGATCCCAACTGCATCGATATTTTATCAACTAACTAAACGCAAAATCAAAAACGGTAAAATAAATAAATATTCTTCTTTTAGATGTAAAATATTAGGTATATAAATCTTTATATATTATATATATATTAAATTGAAGTTGATTTTAATTATAATGCAAAATATATAAACAATAATTTTTTCTTCTTTTTTTTCACTTAAATTCCACTTCGGTTCATAGGTAAATATATAAGAACTAAGTGCTTTAAAATGGTGTTGCTTTGTAATTTAGGCGTATATTTGACTATGCACTTATTCTGCCTCTCACAGTGTTTTATGTTGGGGAGCAGAGCAGAAAGCACATGATGGGGGGTGTATTTTCTACACAGGTTCCTGGGCTGCTGTGCGGCTTTTATTCAAAAATCACCATTCCGGAGAGCAATCTGATCTGATCAGCACACGGGCATTTTACAAGGAGGGCCAGCGACAGGACTGATGTTGGTAAGTGCCACACTGGATTTTTCCCTGCATAGATGGAAAAATGTAATAGTGATGCACATATGGCCTATCCGGCTTGCGATAACAGGGCTGGGGACAATGCTTGATGTGCTCCTGTGGTACAACAGCAGCCCGTAAACTGGATGTCAGCATGGTGCAGTCTCGATGCTTCAAATCAAGGTCGATGTGAATTGCAGCAGCAGCAGCAGCAGCAGCAGCAGAATAATATGATGCTTCCAGGTGGTGAAACTAGCAGAGTGTGTGGGTGGGTGGGTGTGGAGGGTGTTAGCTACATTAATGCGTACTATATGCGCAGGAAAAAAAACATACATCCAATTATCATATCGATATTTAGGCAGATGGGAGTGCGGAGTCCACTTGAGGGGAAACCGGAGCAACCACAACAACCACCCCTGCAGCTGCGGCAAAAGTTCGGCGTAATGGCTTTATAAAATACCACCACAAATACGTAAAGGGCAGGGCAAGATGCTCAAACACTGAGCCGCATTGAAAGACTGTAATGAACCCGTATTGTTTTTAATTAGCAGTTCAGCACCATGGAGAGGTCATGATCAGGTCCGCCTTGTTTATTTATTGCAGCTTTTTGTTCTCGGTACATCAGAATCTCAGTTACATTATTATCTGATCAACGGGATTTACTGTGTTTAGTGTGTTGAATCGTATTCAGAAAACAAACAGCACAGTCGAACTGTTTTTCCAGTTCAGCCACAAGCTTCGATGCTTCATGTTTAGATAAGGGTGTTGATGGTGACATGTTCAGACTGGGCGTGTAGCAGACCACTGTGTTCATTGTGATAGCTCCGATACATTCAGTGCTTATCAAGTGAAATAGATTTTATTGCCAGACTGAGATTGAGAACACCATTATCACATTTCAGGGAGTTTCTATTGTTTAAAATCATAACAGATGAAAAGAGATTTGCTGGACGCAGGGAATACATAAGACCACACATTTATAACAATATATGTAAAACGTATAGGGTTTTTTTTTGTTTTTTTTTTGTTGAATTGCTAAATCACTTTTTAATGTTCTTTTTAACAGTATTTTTTTTGGTGTTATATCTTGTTGTATGTTTGTAGTACTGTAGGGCTGCAACTGCAACTATGATTTTCATTACCAATTAATCTGCCAATTATACTCTTAATTGATAGATAGTTTGGTCCATAGAATGTCAGAGAGTAGTTACATATGCCCATCATATTTTCCCAATATCCAAAGTGAGTCCAAAGTGATCGACTTTAAACAGCTATTTTTGTCTGACCAACAGTCAAAAACTCAAAGATATTCCAATGACTTTCACATATGACTAAGAAAATGGGGAAATAATATATTCACATTTGAGAAGCTGGAACCAGTTAATTTTTGCATTTTTGCATTAAAAAAGCAATTACATTATTATAAAATAGATTAATTTTCTGTTGATCAGGTTTCAGCCCCATAATTCTGTATGACTTTGTTCAATTTGGTGCAAGTGTGTTGTGACTGGTTTTGTTTCTGTTTTACTGTTGTTTGGTTCCTTAAACAACTAAAAAAAATCATAAAAGAGACAAAACAAGAGCACAAAGACATTCGTTTTCCACCAACAGTGTTTGCGTCCTTATTGAACTACACATTATCTGTTAATTTGCCAAAATATAAGGATTCTTTGTTGTGCCTCAGTCCAAGGCAAACATTCATTCAGAGCGCTGCTATTCACATGTCAAAAGAATGATGTACTATTCCACAAACAGAAACCTCAGAGGACATAAGTCATGAATCATAGATCTGGCACCCACACTAACCACATTGTATGAATTTTTCAGGGACACTTCATTGTAAGCACTTTTAAGTAGAAAAAGTAACAATGATTTCACAGAAAATGAATACCACACAATGCTGGCCTGACTCACTTAAAGCAGTTTTACAGAAGGTTTCCTGTTCTGCAGGACATCTAGACAAAATCAGAGCAGACACAACAAAGCAAGTTGACAGATAACAAACAACATCATCAGTCACCATAGACAAAAGGACTTAAATGGCACATGTGGGTGTTGATGATGTAGAAATAATGGATGAATGTAAATTTTATGACTTAAACAAGAGGCTACTGTTTGTCCTTGAAGCCAGGCTTGTTTCTGTGTGTGTTTAAAGCGTGAAACTAAGCCATTTATCATATCATTTTGTGTAAAAGAATCTTTGACCATAAGTTATTTAAATCTGCTGCAGTGATGTGCTTGGGAGATGCTCTGGTGTGTTGTTGGATAACAAGCGAAGAGGTTGTTTTGTAGCTGAAATGAAATCTTAATGGATAAATAATTTGTGTATTTACAGAGGAGAGAGAGGCGTACCCTGTGATAGTTAATTTCTACAGTATGTTTGTTCCATTGAAGAAATTCCTTTAAGCTCACTTATAAAACGTATGATTTGTTCAGTGATTTTTAATATGAGGAAAAAGGCAGCAGGAGCTTGTAGAGAGTATCAAAGAAGATGTGCTATTGAAAATGTCAAGTGAAAATTTACAGATATCATAATGCAAGTATTTGAAAAATAACACTATTATCTATTAATATTCACAGGGTTGAGGGTAGTGGGCTTACAGGGCCAGTTATGGCTCATGGTAAGAGGCCAGGAACCATTTCCAAAATATTGGCTCCCAGCCCTCCACCGTGCCCCGGTCCAGGACTCACAAAACAGAGTGAAGAGGAGCAGCGAGGTTTGGTGAGGGAGGCCTCTGAGCAAGCACCTTGCGCCTTGAAAGATGATAACAATGACCAACTGACTGCTTCTGCTTCTGCAAACCACTATTACATGAGTTGTGACCCTAGTCCTGAGGACATGGAGGACACCTGCTCCGAGTACGACAACGTGGGCTCCGATGTGGAGCAGGATTATGATGAGGTGCTGCATTTGAACAGAGAGGGCGTGGTGGACATGAGGTACTACAAGCAGTACTGTCCTGAGGATGGTGGCTATATAAAGCATGCAGTAGGTGATAATATTAATGAGAACAGCAGTGCTGTCGACCAGTTCACTCCCAGAGCTCGTCATGGCACAGAAATAAGTGAGGGATCACAATCTGACACTAAGCCTCACAAGACGGGCCATCGCTTTAGGTCACATTGTGCCCCGGTTGCTGGGGATGAAGCAGAGAGGGAGGTGGGAAAGGGCCAGGAGAATAGGTTCTTCTTCAGTGACGGAGATGAGATAGAAGAGGTGCTGGATGGGGCCAAATTTATAGAGGATTTAGAGGAGACAGAGAACAGTGTTCAAAGACCGACCAGCCTTTATCAGGGCAATGATAATGAAAGAATTAGAAAGGGAGGTGATGAAAGGGAAAGAGAAGATGACATTCGAGTTACAAGAAACCATAATATTCAAGGAGCCAGTAAGAAGTGTGAGTCATCTCACATGGGTTCAAAGGAGAAGGAGAGGCAGGGCAAAGGACGAGGGAGGAGGGCAACGGGAGAGGACGTTGAGCATATTGTTTCTGGGATCAAAGGATGCATGACCAACAGCACTGAGCAGCGTCTAAAGACTTCGTCAAAGGACTGCAAAAAGGCCGCTGTGCGGACCAAAGCTAGACCTGGTTCCAGTAAGCAACATCCTCCTCCCCCCCCACCTCCTCATTCCCATGCTCAGTCACCTGCCGAGACCCAAAAGGGCCAGCCTCGCAGAGAGACTCCTCCTGTTCCCAGACCCAGTCCCTCCTCTGCTAACAGCCAGGAGAACGAACCCAGGGTTATCAAGCCATCGCTGGCTCCTCAACACACACCGGAACAACAGAGGGAGCCTCTTGAGGAGAGGCAGAGACAGCCAGAGAAACCCCAGCAGGTACGTATTGCAAATGGGGCAGATCTTTGTCAGATCTCATCCCCTGTGGCTTGTGTTTCTTTAATGTTTGTGCCCAGTCTACCATCACTGTATCCCAGAGTGAATTAAGTAAGATTTTAATTAAATGCTTTGCCACAAATAGTCTTTGTCCCCTTTCCCCTGTGGGATTATCATCTACATAGGACAAAATTTCAGACTTGCTCAAGTTAAAGCGGATGGTTTTGTACAACAGGTTGAGAAGCCAAGCACAGCCATGATGCCTGAGGACGTGCCAGAGCAGGCGAGGAGGCCTCAGTGTCCAGAGCTCATCCCTGCAGAGGAGACCAACACACCCAAGGTGAAGATGTATTACACAGCAGCAGG